AAACCTGCACACTCAAAAACTTCAAATTTCTTAAGCAACAAACCTCCCCATGCCATTCATAACTAATTAAGAAACTTTCTGAACTCACAGCCTCCACTACTGCACCTCCTATTCACTTCTCAAGTCATCCATCCATGGATTTTTGCCATGATCATCCACAACCTCCATGATATTCACTGCAATGGATATTTCTGAATCCTCATTATATATGCTAGTATCACCCAGTATTTACTGAGCACTTCTGTAACAACGATGGCACTCCACCATCGTTGTTACTTTGCACACTTTGTTACTTTGCACACTGTGGTTAGGCTTCACAAGTTGATAGAGTAGGTTTAACAGTTAAATTTGTTTTATAAATTGGGCATTTGAGAAGTAAGGTAACATGTGCCCAGTGCCACATAACCTATAAGCTAAGCAGAGACAATTCAAACACAAGCTCAGCTCCTCAGCCAAAACCCTCAACCAGTACAGCTTCTGCTTCCTCTTCACAGCATTAGACTGAAGCCTTACACCAGCTCTACCTCCTATTTGGGACTGCTCTTCCTTGGTGAAACCTTACACAGATATTCCCAAGTTCTATCCTTGACTCATTCGTTACCCCAGAGATGCTCTCATCCAGTCCCTGGCCTAAGTTATTGTGCAATAGAATGTAAAATCAACCTCTCCAGCTAGTGTGCTACTGATGGCTACTGATGCCTCCATAGCCATCTCAGCTTCAGCAGTTCCAACATGGACACAGCTCATCTACCTAACTGAAAATCAGTGTTGTCTCAGAATCCTATGGCACTAACCACACTGTGTTGTAGTTACTTGATCTTTTCCTGCATATCTAGTGAATTGTCATTGTTTTCCCAGTACCTAACACAGCAACTAGCATGAGGTAGATGCTTGGCAATTGTAAAATTAAGTAATGCAGAGTCTTTGGTTGGCTACATAACCTCACTAGTCCTCAGTTTCCCCACTCAGAAAGGGACAGTTGGAATGGAATTTGTTTCATTCTGCAACCTGTGATTTTAAAAAAAGGTCTGTGATCAATAAGCTGAGACACGTTTCATATTCTCCTCTTGGTAATTCACATTAACAGTATATTTAAAGTTCTGACAGTACTGCTGTTATTTGAATAAGGTTTCCTAAACTTACTGACTACAGAATCTTCAATTCCTGGAGTACCCCAGGCCCTCCAAGATGAGTGGCGCCTGATGCAGTACATAGTTTGGCAAACAACAACAACAACAAAAGTGTGACAGCTGACACCAATGTACAACCAAATGTCTTGCAAGTATTTTGTGAAGGGTAACAGTTCTTCCTTTAAAAAAAAAAAAAGCACAAAAAGGGATAATGATGTTTTAAAATATTTCATTTTAGCAAAAAATAGTCTGTTTAAATTTTATTTCCCTTGATTAAGAAAAAGAAAACCTGCTTCAGTTTTAATACATATCAAGGAAAAGATGAATAACTACCAAAGAGCAATTTCAAATTGATTTTTTCAGTCACCCGCATTCTTCCTTTACCTTAAAAATTATTTTTTGCTACAGCAAAAAACTGATTGCTATATTAATACAAGTTTCATCTCCAAGTAGTATCAGACTACTTTAAAACATTAGAGTCATAGTAATAATAATGACAACAACAGTTAACACTTGTAGAGCAGCTGGGAAGTGCCGGGCATACATGATCTCTCTGAGGAACACCTTGAGTTAGATAGTATTATTAAACACATTTTACAGAGGAAGAAACTAAAGTTTTTCAAAAAAGGAAGTTAGTCCCCAAAATGACACTTCTAAACCAGGAAACAGCAGAGTCAGCCCATGGATCTGTCTGTTCTGTAGTATTTGATTATGAATAATGGGTTTTTCTGTTTGTTTGAGAGCAAATTAAAGCTGATTAAACAGAAATCCCATTTATCATGAAGAATCAGCAAAAGACTTAATTTTGCTGAGCATAGCAGTAACAATCAGAGGCCCTAAGAGGGTAATCAAAAGAAAATAATTTTAACTGTTTTCATGTAGACACTTTCTCTGCAAACTGTTAGCATGTAAAATACTTCATTTACAGAAATGTGAATTTATAAAGCCTACTCCTTTGCTCCGTGATTGTGAAGCAGCTGCCTCAAAAGCATACTGGGCAGTTTTTTAAAAATTAAACAGTTACCATATAACATATAAATTCCTAATTCTAAGAAAGTCAAATGAAATCAAATGAAAACATATGTCCAAATAAAAACTTTTTGTGTACAAATATTCATAGAAACTTTATAATAACCAAAAAGTATAAATAACCTGCATGTTCATTAACGATGAATGAATAAGCTTTGGTGTATCCATACAATAGTATATTATTCAGCTACAAAAACGAATTTAAAGTACTGGTGCACACTACAACATGGATAAGTTTCAAAGCATTAAAAATGAAAGAAACCAGGTAGAAAGGCCATATATTGAAGAATTCCACTTACATGAAATATTCAGAATAGGCAAATTCAGAGAGATAGTACAAAGTAAACAAAGACATTTTTAAAAATGACACTAACCATTTGTTTACACAGTATTTTTCCTATAGACTTAATTTTTTACATATCACTTATATTTACTGTGACACTAAAAATTTTGGCTGCCTTTTAGCTTTAGAAATATCATTTTCAACCACAAAAAAAAATTTACTGTGCCAAAAAAAAGTATTGCCCCCCCCCCAAAATGAAACTAATAAAACTATCCCTGATGGGGCTGGGGATTTAGCTCAGCAGCATAAGTGCCTGCCTTGCAAGCAGGCATTCGTGAGTTCGATCCCAGGTACCGATAAAAAGGAAAAAGACAAAAAAACAAAACAAAAAAAACTATGCCTGATGAAGCCTATACATCAGATTTACTAAACAAAACTATTTTAAATGTGCTAAAAGTGATAAAACAAAGAACTAAGTTAAATAATGAGAATGCTGTCTCATCAAATAGAGAACATATACAGAGAAAAATGATTTCTTAAAAAGGAGTTTAATAGAAATTATAGAGTTGAAATCAGAATACCTGAAAGTTTCATTAGAATAGTGATGTTGAACCTTTTAGGGCTTTCCATGATACAAACAACCCACTGTGGTGCACGTGCCATAGGTTCGCCATCACTATAAGCAGCAACAGCAGATTTGAACATGCAGAAAAAAGAATCAACTAACTGGAAGATAGGTTGACTGAGTTTATCCGGTCTGTAGAGAAAAAAAAAAAGAAGAAGATGAAGACGACGACAAAGAAGAAGAAGAAGAAGAAAAATGAACACAATATAAGAAATTTGTGGGATGCTATCATACAAACATAAAGCCCAACAGAATTCACTGTGAATAAAAGTCCATAAGAAATGGGTACTGTGGCAAAATTAATAGGACTATGTGCCAAAGACACATAACATGAAAAGAAGACACAGCAGGCAGAAATCCAGGCTTTCAGCTGTGCAAGCCTGGAACTCTTGGTGGTATGCAGTTTCCTGCCTTCGGCTGCTCTCCTGCCCCTTTCACAGCTGTGTGTCCTCCCTGGTCTTCCCCACTTCCTACCAGCACACCCGACATGGTGCCCTCCATCTTCCCGCCCCCACTGCCTTTCAATCACCAGGGTAGTAAGGAGCTGTCACATGGACTGATTGCTGCCTTCTCTCTCCAGCAGGAGACAGAGGGCTGAGAATTCTATCACAGGTACTGCAGATTCTTCTCTCTCCAGCAGGAGACTGAGGGCTAAGAATGGCATCACAGGTACTGCAGAGTCTAATCTGCTCTGAAAGTCCACCACAATCAGTGGTAGTAGGGATGGGAAGGGGATAAACTTATTTTGACATTTAAAATATTTTCTTATACTTATTATACTTATAATTGTATTACTCATTCTTAGAGACTTCTATACTATAAATATTTAGTATAGAAAGGTTAATGTTTTCTCCAATTTTTTTTCACTTTTACAATGGCATTAATAGGAACATTGGGTTTCAATATGCAATAGTTTGCCTCCAGAAGCATTTTTCTTTGTTCAAAATATTAATGGATGTCTTGATGGAGGGCAGGTGAGGCAAGGGCTGCTTTTCACTCAACACTACACTTTGGCTACTCTCTGTTAAGGTAGCGTATTTAGATTTGTCAAAGACTGCTTTTCCGTAAAACATTAACATTTTCATTTTAATTATGGTGGGCTAGGAAAGGATTCTGCAACCATTAAGAGACCATCTCATTTGCCCACTGTCAATTTTGATGTTTGATACAATGGCAAAAGTGTTAACTATGGGAATTATTGAATTGGCACCTAATATCACTTCTGAGCCCTCTGCTGAACCCAGTAGACTATAAACAGATGCATAGACAGGATTCCTAAAAAGCTTCACTGTGGAATATGATACCTTTGAAATCATTTCTCTCAACAAAGACACAATGAGTTATCAAAGAAACTTCTACCCACTTGGAACAGTATAAAGAGATTTCAAGTCTGTAGAGCTACCACTTTTTAGATCTTTATAAAGTTCCAGAATTGTCTGAAAGCTTTGAGGGATACTACATGCTTAAAATACGCTTTGTGTAGTATTTCTATTACAAACTCTCAACTGTAGAACCAAATGTTGAATCCTAAAATTCCTAAGTTTCAATACTACAAAAATCTGCAGAGCCAAATTCTTCTAGCAGTAAAGATTCTGCTTCATAGGAATTAAATTTTTAAAAATTATAAATATTGAAAAGTATAAATTTTATTCCTACCTTGACATAGATTAAAAGTGACATAGATTAAAAGTGATTACATCTCTTTTAAATAGCTGCAAACAATTTATTTTTTCTTTTCCTGTTAAAGACATATATAACATCAACTTACTAAAAAAAAAATCAAAACATCTTCAACTTTATTTTTCTTACAACGTCCAAACAGTTTCTTGGATGACAGTCTTCCACCAAGTTATTTTAATATTTCTTGTGTCGTAATTAGAGAATAGTTCTATCTGGACACTTCATAATCAAATTCTTTCTTGATGACTAACAGAAAGGGGCAGTGGTTAATAATAAGGTCAAGATGATGTACATCCTTGGAGGAAAAAATCTTGTGTTTGCATATTAAAATTAAAAGTAAAAATATTCTAAAAATTTGGAGCCTGTTCTCTCAAAACATGCAACAATTCTGATTTGCATTTTTCGAAGATAGAGGGAGCAGTTCATCTCCTGTTTGTCTCTTCATTGTGACCCAGCTTTTGAAGAAAGCCTGGTGAAACAGGATCCCCTCTCAGAGACATCCAGATGCTATTTCCTCAAAAGATTATTCCCAGTTCCTGTGTTTGAAGATTTTACCCTTTACTAGATATTCTATCAGTTTGCCAAGAATAGGTATGAGACTCCCCAGGACACAGTTCTCAAACTGTCTGGTACAACTGGGCAGGCAAGTCACATTTTCAATACAGCTAAGGCTTCTTACATTACAAAGGCAGATGACTAAATTAAAATAAAACAATCTGCTTGGCCTGTATTATTTAAAAGAGAGATTCCCTTCAAGATACTTTAATTGAAACAATCCATTTTAGAAGATAAAACTAAACATCTGACTAGCATTTCCCTTAATTTGTCATACAGCAAGCATTGGTTACTATAAATACACACTCAAGAAGCAGAGATCGCTAGCCCCTTCCCTTGGGAAAACTTACTGTATGGATAGACCCACTAATAAGAAAAAACATATAATAATTAAAGATGCTTTAAAGATCTAGGGTTGGTTAAAAAAACTTCAAGGAACTGGGTTAATGCCTAGCATCAGGCACACACGCACGCACACAAAGGAGATGGTAAGTCAAAATACTAAGTGCTTCTTTAAAAACGGCCTTGATCTGTTGATCCAGATACATTTTCTAACTCAACTAAACATGTAATATAACTCTAGTGTCACTTTCCACCACAAACTTCTTCAAAAGGGCCAGGATAAAAGCAAATTATCAATAATGGATTATCAAAACACATCTATAGACTGCCATTTAGTAGTAGTTATGATACAGTGGTTTTATTATACAGTAAATTTCTATTTATATGTAATGTATGGCCTCCTGTTAAATGAGAAGTAAATCTGTTTTTAAACATTAATAAAAGTATCATACAAGGCTGGGCATGGTGCTGTACATCTGTAACTCCAGCATATTAGGAGGCTAAGGCAGGATGACCTCAAGTTCACGTTCAAACTGGGAACTTAGCAGATCTCAATATAAAAAATATTATGAAAAGGGCTGAGGATGTAGCTCAGTGATAGTGCACCCCTGGTTTCAATTCTCCAGTACTGCAAAACAAAATTCATATGAGCACTGCCATTTCTACATACTGTGAGCATGCCTTCCCTGCATGTCAGTCCTCTCTACCCTCAGCAATAGCCAAAACAGCATGTGGTGACAGCCACTTGCAGCACTCAGAGGATCAACTCTTGCACATGTGCTCTCTCTCTCTCTTTCTCTCTATCTAGTTTTCATATCTACTTTTAAATATTTTATTGACCTTTGCAGTTATTTGGCTTCTCAATTAATCATATAATCATAGTAAGTAAAAATCAATTTGTATTTACACATAAACAAAAGTAATTTATGTGGAAGGCCTGTAGTAGTTAATGTAATGTAATGCCATAATATATCATCACTAAAAGAAAAACATGTAAAGATTAATATTACATGTAATAAATGTATTAATAAGTTAAATGATATTCTGAAGCAATCCAATCAATAAGAAGTAACTGTCTCATGGATGACTTTATTTTATTTTTTGCTGTGATGGTAGTACTGGGAATTGAAATGCCTCTCTAGAATTTGGAACCCATAACCTAATGATTCACAATCCTATTGTCACATTCACAGGCTACTTTGTGGAAGATCTTTCACAGATAACAAAGTAACTCAACTACAAATGGCAGAGTTAAAATATTATGAACACATCACTTTATTTGTTTAAAAACACAAAACAGTTGCATGGTTTTCATGCCTCTTCAGGGGCAGGAGTAGAGGGCTGGGTTAACAAGAATATATTCTAATGATTTTACCCTAGACTGATACTATAGATGGGTGAAAAATGGATGCTCATTATTTTATAATTTGCCTGCATGAATTTTCAATTGCTTTGCTAGCTCTGCCTTCACAGCTTCTAAAACAGACTTCTAAAATCTATATCCACAGAATCTTTTTGATAAGGAGTCCCAGGAAACAATCATTACCTGAGATGATTCTTTTTCATTGTGAGGAAAATACATACAAGAGTAAGTTGGTTCCCCCTCAAGCAGATGCCAGTAAAAGTCAGTTATAAAAATGTACACTTCCTTTAAGGCAAACGTATGAGGGGCAGTATAACCTTTAAAAAGCCTTAAATATTAAAGAGCTAAGCATAAAACTTAAAAAGTCAAAAAAATTAGCAGAAATAATAAACCAAAGAAAAAGGAAAAAAGATATGCAGGCCACCACCAGACTGTAAACAGCTAGAGCCAAGCCTCTCTCCGTGAGTCAGCACCAGTGGCCAACTTGGGGGGCAGAGAACACCAGCTAACAAACCCAAACTAGAAACCAGCACCACGCACGGGGCACCGCAGGACTGCAAACAGCTAGACTTAAGTCCCTCTCCCCGTGAGTCTGTACCACTGGAGGACTAGGGGGAGAGAGAACAACGCCACACCAACAAGCAAGCCCAATCTGGAAACCAACACCACGTGCAGGCCACCACAGGACTGGGAACAGCTAGATCCCAGCCCTTCCAGTGCCGGCTGGCAAACAAGAAGTACCAATCCCCACTCCCACCCCATCATAAGTGACCAACTTATCTGGAGAAACACAGGCTGTGATAATAGCTATGGAGGTGAAATGCAATTGGACGCCTGTGGTGCTTTGATGTTTCACTAATATTGCGGGTCTAGGGCCAGTGGTCTGATCATAGATTCAGAAGATACCGGTACACAGTGTGGCATCTAGTAGGATCTCCTTCTGAGGGTTGCAGCCATTGTTGATTCCCTATGGTCTTGTTTTGAGGTCCTCAATCATTTCCATTGTTTTGTTGGATTGAGTTTTATTCTCTTTGTTTTGTTTGATTATGGTAAATCTGATAGCAGGAGAAGCTATCTTAAAGATGGCAAGATATAGTATGGTAGCCATTTTGGAATTACTATTGACTTGTTAGAAATCCTTTATTGTATTCATTGTTTGCTTTTATTGTTTCTATTCTATTCTGTTTGATTTTTACTACGTCCAAAGTTACTTGCAGCTATTTCAAAGACATCAAAAGGCATTATGGTAACTATTGTTGACTTCATAATGTTTTGAAGTTCTGTATCTCTTAAACTGGTTTGTTTTGATTGGTTTTATTCTGTTTTATCCTCTTTAAAATAAAAAAAGAAAGAAAAAGGATAAAGGAAATAATAAAGATAAAACCAGAAACTGATGAAACAGATAAGGAACAGAGTAGAACAATATGTAAGATCAACAAAACCACAAACTGGTTCTTTAAAAAGGTTATGAAACTGTTAAGAGTCTGACACACCTTAACAACAACAAAAGAAAACAAGTAACACTATTAATGAAAACAGAAACATGACTATATACGCAGTGGATTGAAAAAAGTCAGAGAATATGACCAAGACGATGACAGTAAATTTGAAAACTGAGGCAAAACGCACAAGTTCTTAGAATCTTACGGCCACACTATACAAAAATAATGCACTGTCTAGACTCCAGACTTCTGGTATGCAGAAGCATCACTAAAGCTCAGAAAAGCTTAAGCCTCAGAACTGCAATTATACTATTTCTTACTCAATTATCACTTAGTAATTTAGATGCTGGATCCAAATGAGTGGAATATAGTTTTAGAGTTCAAATGAATAAAGCTAACAATTTTAACTAAAACATTTCTAAGTGTGATCATTGGTAAATACTCTAAATATGTAGACTTTTTAAGTAATTTATTTAATTCAGTTTTCTTAAGTATTTCCATTTAACTTTTGGTTAATATGCCACCAAACATAAAGTGATCAGGATTTATAAACTTTCTGGAACTTAACCAAATGACCCTTGTATTCCCATATTTAATATTAACTCTGAGCTGCCATATAACGGCCTTATTCCAGTGCAACACAGAGTACAAAGAGCAACTGTCAAAGAATTATTATAGAGGTAGAAGAGATTCAAACCCTGAGCTTTACATATGAAGAAACTGAGACCTAACAAGGTGAAATAATTTGCCTGGGTAGTAATAATACCTCAGTCTTTTTCCTCCAACTCAAAGCTATGTAACTTTTACCCTGTGGACATTCCCTTTCACTAAAGTAATACAGAGTTGTTGTTCAGAACTCAATAAGCATCTCTCTCTGTGAAATACTATTTAGAGTCAGTACAGTTGTTAATGTTAAAGGGCAATTTCATATATTATCTAATCCATTTAGTTGTTAGATTTATCTATTATTCTTGTAAATCAACTGCATTTTCATAAGAGTGATCTGTCACAAATAGGAAAGGAAGAAATTATTTCATCACTATGCCCCAAAATTAAATTTTGTGACTAGCAAAGTCTTCTCTAATTATCAATATACAACTTTTCAAGCAAACTACTTAATTGATGAGATTGTCATACTACACATATTCCTAGTTTAAATATCTTGTTGATTGCAAAGTTCATGATGACAATTTGTTCTTCTTAACAGTACTCTGCTATAATCTTACAGTTTTATTTTAGTTTCTCTGGCTAAGGATCTGAACTAAGTCTGAGATGAACAGTTCGCCTTTGACTCAAATAGTTATATAAGTTATGTTAGGTAGAAATACACTCAGGTAAAGAGTGGACTATTCCAGTGCTCATCCAATTATTTTTTCTACCTAATGCTAAATTTTAAACAATGAAACATCTGAATGATTCACATAAGAAAAGAGCAATCAGTTGCTATGAAATTGAAAATCAAGATGCCTGCAATTTCCTTTTTATGTAAGTTTCCAAGATGAACACTATACTGTCCCCCCATCCCACATGATCTTTTTCAGTGTGAACTTACCACTCCCTCATCAAAGGGGGTCCTACTCTCCTCTCCTCTAATTGGGACTGGGCGACGACTTACGCCTAAGTAAAGAACCAGTGGAGGTGACTCAGTGTGACTTCTAAGGGTAGGTTAGAAAAGGCCAGGCAGCCTTCATCTGTTTTTTTTGTTTTTTTGTTTTTTTGTTTTTTTTTTTTTTTGAGAGGCTCACAATAGGGGACATTCAAATACCTGGGATCATCATGTTGGAGAACCACATACAGGCACTCTGCTTCCCAGCTGAATCCAACCTTTCCATTATCCCCGCAGAGGTGCCAATAAATAAATGACAAAACCATCTTGGAAGTGGACCCTCCAGCCCCTTTCCCAGGCATTTGAGTCACTCTACCTATTCAAATTTTCTCAGATGAGGCCCCAGGCATTGGCAAATAGAGATCAGTCATCTCTAATATGCCTGTCCAAACTGCCAACCCACAGAATCCACTCATAATAAAATAGCCATTGTTTATGCCACTAATTTAGAGATGTTTTTACATTTTTATACCATCAGAAGAGCGCGTTGTGACCAAAAACAAACAATAACCAAAAAGAGGGGGCATTAAAACTCTGTATTACTGCTGTGCCTAGTAAAAGAAATTCTTGTATCTATTGGCTATGTAGCTAGATAGAGCAAAAAACTTAAAAGACCCTTCAGACATGACTCTAACTGAAAAGAAGATAAATCCATTAGTACACAAAGGATGTATGCTCTTAACAAAATAGGACCATGCTGTATGCATATCCGGATTGAGAAGGACAGAGAGAGGTTACGCACCAGGAAAAGGCTGGGCCAGGGAAGGAAGAGCCTTTTATAGCATACCTATCTCACTCTTCAGTTACTTCCAGGCAATCTACTGAGGAAACTGTAAGTCTCCAAGGGGCTCCTAACACAAAGAACACAAGTAAGGAAAAAGGGGGGAGGAAATAAAGAATGCAGAAGTCATTCTTTCACTAGCTGATGACACACAGATAACAATGACCACAAAAAAGAGAAGAAAGCCTAAGATATAAATTACCATATAGCTTTCAATATCAATGTGGGGGGAAACATCAAGCATTTTAATTTCATCCTTTAAATTAGATTGCTAATACATGTGCATTTTAAGTAGATGTCAAAATAATTCCAAATATTCATCATCAACTTTAATTCTTCCTCTAAACTGAGGAAGGTGTCATTGCAGTTACACAAAGCACATAACATTTGATGCCTCAATACCACTAACTACTTATGTGAATAGTATTGATTTTCTTTAATATACTGGATGTTTTGAAGGTAGCTATCCCTTAAGTTTTGATAGTAACAAGTTCAAATGCCAAGCTCTCAAATACAGTACATTTTTCCATCAGAAATAATTTAAGAGGCAGCTTTCCCCCTTGACCATTTTTTCACCTTACAGGTCACTAAATATCCCCTTTCCAACACTGCAATAAAAACTTTAGCAGACAAAGGAATTAGTTCACTTAAAAACTCTTTGGCTCCACCAAAATCCAGCACTCAACAAAGAATATTAAATTTTCTTGATCAAAATATGTGAGAAACTACCAGTTTAAAAAGAGAATACCTGGTTATCAAAGAGAATACCTGTTTTAAAAAGCTGAATAACCTTTAACCACATTTCTCTTCCTTCCTCAGGTCTGTCCTCAGCATGACAGGTTTATTGAGTCAACTGTACCTCTCCTAAAGTTAGTTCCACAGTTTAGACTGTCATCTGCAAAACGTGAAAATACTTTCAGTTCGATCAAAACGAAGAATGCTTTTCAAGATTATAGGTCTTTACTAAGTATGCTTTGATTTCATTAAGAATATGCAGACTTATTTAGATGCTCATGAATCAATTCCTGAGTTGTGAGCAAGTTGTGCGTGGGTTGTCTTCATGTTATATACTATAGTGTTACCAGCTTCTGAAATGTAATGGCTCTCCTCTTCACTCTAACCTTTTCTCCTATCTTGTTTCTTCCTTTCACAAAGCTGTTAAGTAGTACATGGGCAGACACTGGAAGGCCATCGTCCTTTTCCCTACATCAAACCTTGGAATTATATAAATAATTCCAAAATAACCTTTTTGGAAATAATCAGAATTTCCAGTTGTTCAAATGATGAATTTGTAAGAGAGAATGCCACAAAAAATAAATCAACAAGTGCTTTCCCAATGACACTGATGAAATACCATCTACGTAAAAAGAGAAAAAAAACCATAAAATTAAAAGGAAAAATACAAGAGCAGCAAAGAATCCTTCATAAACAACAAGAGAATAGATCTAAACCACAGGGAAGTAACTACTTCCAGTGTCAAGAAAACTTATGAACTATGGAACATGAGTGACTCCAACAGGAAGTACATATTGAACATTTTAATTCTAACAGCAAAGATATTCTGGTTTAAATGAGGTTTTAGCAAAGTATACAATCATATCAGAATCTCTCATTTTAAAAATAAAAAAGTCAAGGTCAGAATCAATGTGAAGGCTGAAGCAAAATCTAGGCCTTAAATCAAAAACATTAATGTCACAAAAAAAAGAATGCATAATGTTACAAGCATTGTTTAATTTAGTCACTGTTCTTTATCACTTTACAAAAGATGTTTTAACTGATTTGCTCTACAATCCACACTAAGACATCTTTACAAGCAAATCAAATCTTTATTCCCCTAAACTGAAGGTGTTGTTTTAAAATGTAGTGATATTTTCTGAAATTACCTTTAAATTCTTAAAACACACATGGTCCCTAAATCCTATTAAGACTCTAGCATTTGTTTTTACTACAGTGTAACTTCCTGAGAACCAAATTTTACCAAATTCATACCAAAAAAAGAGATATCCACACATTTTTAATCTAGTTAAATTGGATAGGAATGAGAAAAGACTTTTGATTTTTAAATTCAATTTAAAGTATTGATAATATTTTACTATCAGAAATATTAATATTTCATATTATTAGTATTTCATTCATAAGCTCAGAATCCAATTCAAATTACTAATTTTAAAGATGAATGAATTTAAGAAATGTACTTTTTAAAAGCTAATCTTTCTTCTAGATAATCTTAACGTTTTTGTTTTGTTTTGTTTTTTGTACCAGGAATCCTACTCACGACCGCACGCTTACAAGGCAGGCGCTTATGCCACTGAGCTAAATCCCTGGCCGAAAATATTAATGTTTAAGAAAATAAACTGAATATATTGTGCCATGACTCCTTCCTCTGCTCATTATTATACAATTTCTCCATATATAAAATTTACTTTAATCTCATGAAAATTTTATTCAATATGTTAAGGTCTATGTTTGAGTACCTTAATTTTTGCTCTGATTCTGCTCTCTTTCCTCAACTCACACTAAAACAGTTTCTAATAAGCAATAGCATACCCTAAAAGTTCTACCTTAAACAAGAAAAAAGAAAAAAAACTCAGCACTGGCTAAATATAATTGAACTACACTGCACAGTTGTAAAATTGAAAACATTATGACAACACATACTTTGGATGCTAAAAGTTCCTAGTATCAGAGAAATCTGGCAAGTTAACATATATCAGAGTGTTGAAGAAAACAATTTAAAAACAAAAACACCAAGGCAAATATTACACTAAGACTATATTTTAATAATTTGAAGTAGGAATCTCCCTTTACTTTTCCATAATAGGAACAAAATGCATACGGAGCTCTTTCTTACACAAAGTCATAAGCATCTAAAATCCAGCACCTCAGACACTCTGTTCTAAATGATTATAGGTTTTCTTTCTTTAAAGCAATACAGTATGATACAAAAAATGACTACGGAAAAGGCATTTTATGTATATATTCACAAATACATTTACACATTTCTATTCAATAATTGGATTTCATTCTCCTTTCTCAAAACAAGGTTACTTTCTATTTCCTAAAATCTTTGACTACATTTAAATATAGATTTTCTTTACAGCCAACATTATTTGAAGTAAACACATCAAGCATTAAAATATTCATTTACTTGCTTATAATAGAACTCTAGCAATAATCTGATAGAGGATTATGAAAAACTTTACACTATATCTCACACAATCCTACTTCTAAGTGAAAGTGTTTATAAATTCACAGAAGTATCTTCCCAGACAAAGGAGACAGGGCACCCCTACAACCAAAAGTCTAGCTAATAAGAAGTGCCTCCAGAGATGGGCAGGACTTGCAAGTTAGCAGGAGGAAAAAAGCATTTCTGGAATAGTGCATCAAATTACTGTACACGACTAAGGGACTAATAGAGCTGCAGGGTTAGTCTCACCAGGACAAGGGGTGGTAAGAAACAGGAGAGGATCCTGGAGGATTAGCGAGGAAAGACAAGCGTACATATTCTGGAGACCAAAATGAAGCTCCAGGCTCAGCCTCAGGGCAAAAGGCAGCACAGAACTGCTAAGTAAAGAATAGTGTAAAGTAGTGCCAACAGGGGTACTAACACTGAAAATGTAAAAGAAAATTTTAAAAATTTTCAAAAGGAGAAAATGTGGGGAAAAGAGAAGCGGGGGAAGGTTAATTCTTGTAATGATCTGAGCATCTGGTAGTTGCAGAAACCTGGTAGCAGCACCAAAAACAATGGGATAATGTGTAGTGGTGCATACTTGTAACTCCAGCACCTGGGAAGCTGAGGCAGAAAGATCCTCATGAGTTTCAGGCCAGCCTGGACTAGATAGTGAGACCCTGTCTCAAAAAACAAAAACAAAAACCAGAAATGATGGGATAGATGTGAGAGACAACGAAAACACCATTGGCTGGTGGGGACACCATTGTCTCAAGAAGCTTGTTTTTTTGGTTCCTTTGGCTTATTCTGGTCTGGTCTGGTTCGATTAGGAAGCTAACTATTTACAGATTTAAGTAGGATTCATCTAGAAGTCAACACAATTATATATTATATTTGCTACATTTTTATTGTTATTTATTTTCTCCATCGTACTAGAGACGAAACCTAAGGCCTCACATATGCTAGCTATACTTCAAGCCCCTGTGTTAATATTTTTAAAAACGAAGACAGCAGAATAACTCAAAAAAAAGCCAAATAACTCTGTGGAGAGAGCACCTGGTCTCACTGTCAGAAGCCTGCAAATCTATTTTTGACATTTTGAGCAATGCTGCTCATCACTTTGTACAACAGAAAAGGTCTCAGAGCTCTTCAAAGAAAAATGGTAAAGTAAACAGATACAACCTATGACATGCTATTTAGGGAGAAACAAACAAACACAAATCTGTGAAATAAAGCACGTGAGAACAAAGTCACTACACAAACATTAAACCACTAACAAGTAATAGTTTCAAAATGATACCAGATGGACCTTCGACTTTACTCAACTGGATGCATTTTTTTGTTTTGATGAGGATGCAGATGTCCAAACATATCAATACCAAAATTCATCATTATAAATCTTTCCATGTCTGCTTTTTTGCTTCTAAGGTTGAAGATCAATCACAGTCTTGATACAATTTTAAATGGCATATGGCTATTTTTAAAAACTGACAAGCAAAATATTTCCATAAATTCAAAGCAAGACCAAGTATTTAAAAACAAAATAATTTAGTTGTTGTACTTAACCACTGGGCAGGCTGCCTGTGAAGCAAGGCATCCATGTGCTATTTATAAAAGCAAAGCAATAAACAAGTGATAATGTGCATTTTTCATGAAACTTGCTCAGAAGGAAAATCTATCAGTCTCTGGAGAGAGCTCAGGTTTTCTTCTGTCCAAGCGGCAACTACATGAACTCTGGAAGTCCTGCATCTATGTATAACAAAAGTGAAGTTTATAGGTTATTAGCTAATTGGGGACAGAGATTCTAAATTCCCTTTGCATCTTTACCCAACGTTAAGGATAATACTATCAGGGTCAGATTCTAGGTATATTGTAAAGAAAAAGCCAAAAGGACTTGTTGATAAACTGAATGTGGGATCTGAGGGAAAGAAGAGTCAGGGATGACTCTAAGGGCTGAACAATTAGAAGGATGTCATCAAATTAAGATAAGGAAGGCTACAGATGCAGCAGGCTGGGTGTGGAAAAGGAGAAGTAGGTTTCAGACATGAAAACTGGAAGATTAGTAGGCAGTTGGATACACATGCAAGAACCACAAAAGAGAATTAGGAGTTGAGGTACACATTTAGAAGTGGTGGGCATATGAAGGGCCCTTAAAGCCTTGAGACAGGACGAGACCATTAAAAACAGAAAAAGTGGCAGAGGCAAAGACCGAGACAGAGATAGAGAGAGACAGAGACAGAGGCAGAGACAGAGGCAGAGGCAGAGGCCGGGAGGCAGGAAGGAAGCCAGACAGAAGCACTGCAACATCACAAGGTCAAGAAATAAAAGAGGAATCAGCAAAAGGGAATGAAAAAAGTCAATGAATGAGATAGGAGGGAGACTGGGAAAGAGAGGAACCCCTGAAAACCAAGTAAGAGAACCGAGATGGTTAATGATCAGCCATATCATGCTGATGCTGATGTGGATGCTGATGCTCCTTATAGGGGAACTGAATGATGAATTTCAGAATCTGGAGGATATTGGCAATCTTGACAAGACCAGTTCTGGTAAATAATGGTGGTGAGAATCTAAATAGAGTAACTATAAGAAAAGCAAAAACAAGGAATTGAAAATAGTGAACCTAGCTGAGTCAAGTTATTCTTGCTGCAAAGTAAGGCTAAGAATTTGGGCAAGAGCCAAAGGAAGAAACAGCACTAAGAACAAAGAAGAAACATCAGAATGCTGAT